TTTGAAAAATAATGTGTTTTTTGAACATTAAAGCATGTCAACATATTCTGTTACACCAAATACACAAAATAATGATCTTTAAAAAAGCATCATATGACCCCTTTAACATAAGATGATGTGTATGCCATGCCTTGAATAGGAAACCTGTACAACCTGTAACCTTTTGCACAACGAAGAAACATGTTGGAAACAGTCTAAGCAAACTATCTACTGACAGTCAAACTAACAGTCTACTGGCAAAAGTAAACTGGCAAAAAATTGCAATATAATAATAATAATAATAATAAATAAATACATTTTAAAAAATCACTGTAAAGCAGTAGATTAACTTCAGAAAAATCGTTCAATACATTCGAGTCAGTGTTTTAGGAATATGCAAATCTGCAGCACTCTTCTTGCTCTATCATCTTAAGACCTCTCTCTTCATAACAAGCTGCCTATGTGCTTCATTCACAGATTCACAACCGGGAACTCATGACCTTTCTGTTTAAGCATCTGTGAAATGGGAAATTTGATTGCAGCGCTTTTACATCTCTTTGTTCAGGATTTTGTAGAATTGCACAGGTAATGTCATGGCTGCTTGGAAATATTAAATGCAGGGAGTCTTGGATTTGCGGCCTCATTTCAATGCCATTTCTGTCTGAAAAAGTGTAAGAGGCTGTCAGAATAATGTCTATAATTACTCTACGGGTTTTTAGACTGTCAAGCTTTGCTTTCTTCATCAATATTAAAATTCAAAGTGATTGAAAAAGTTATCACTGCAGCATTTTACTTGGGCATCACATTGATTATGGCAACATTTAAAATTAAGATTTCAATTTTAGTGGATTGATTTTTTTTTTAATTTAGAGACATTTAAAGATGAACATGAATATAATATGAATACTGTAAAAGTAAATCTACACTGTAAAAAATGATATGATGAAAAAGCCACGACAATTTCCAAGAAAAAAAAAAAAATTCAGCAAATCTAGACATTAGACTCATGTTTTGACATCAAACAAGGAGACACGGGCGGACTATACAGCGAACTAACTAAACCGCGGAGGAACTTCAGACGAATAACTCATGAACTTGAGGAAGCTGACCGTTGGGCTGCGCGCGAAGAAGGCATTTTCGCGCCCACTGGAAGTTTATCCCAGTCAGTCAGGCTTCGCGTGTTTGAGTTGGTATTCGTTACTGAGTAGAGTTAAGCGTTTATTTTTTTATTTTATTTTTTTATCAACCGTTCAAGCTAGGATAATATAAGTTAACTTGAGGTAGACGACGCCCGAGCTGTTTTCTACGACGCATGAACTAACTTACGTTAAACGTCACCAGTTTTATCAGTTTGTTCTATTCAAACTAACGTTAGATGAACATATGACACTTCTTAATATGATTTAAGAGACCACGATTCAAACAATTGTTAACCTTGTTCATTTGTGACTACTTTTGTAGAAAGACGTTTTTGTCAGCCGAACAACCGACATGTTAAACGTTACATTCAGTTGGACGCACTGTAGGCCTAACGTTACATCTGTTCCTCACAAGCTCGTTTTCTGTGCCATTCGTTATTTTATTGGCCATCATCATATATTTTATATATAATTTTGTTTTACGATTGCAAATTGCTTACTGGTAACAGATTACAGGTAACAGTAAATGCAAACAAAAACTAAAACATTCAAGGTCCAGAACGGTAGGAAAGACATCATTAAAGTAATCCATGTGACTCCTCTGGTTTAACCTAAATTTTATGAAGCAACACGAGTGCTATGTTTGTCCCAAAAAAAAAATATTATTTACCACTTTATTTACAATAAATTATTATTCAAAGTTTGTTCATGCTACAATGTTAACTCTAGCGTGAACACAACATACATGCGTCATGATGCTCTTATGAGCGTGTGTGGCAGATCAATATTTTTAGAAAATAAAACGGTAAAATGTGTTTTTTGCACAAACAAAGAACAT